TCGTTAAAGTTTCGTTGGAACGAAGTTACGGAAAAATCAATTAACAAACGGAGACGTAACAATAGGTACACAGAACAAATAATCAAAATTCTATCCCTAGATTTACTTTTTAAATTTCATTGGGAAACAATGAAAGGGTATTATTTAACATTAAATTTTTAAGTGAAAAAGCCAATAAATGCAAAGAGATTCCGAGACCGGGACTTGAACCCAAAATATCTAGTTAGCATTGACGGAACAACTTCTACTTTTGGATAACTCAGTGCAGAACACTGGCCCTATTAGTAAGAGGCCTTGGGTTAAACTCGGTCCCGGAGTTTCTTTTCTCTAAATGGGTTAAGCACTTGCATATGGAACGAAACTGTGTAATATGAGTTACAGGGTTAAGTACCTGTATATGGAAGATAACTGTGCAATTCGTGCACAAAATCTTGTAAGTAAAATCATCATATTTCAGTAGGCTTACAAATTCCAGACGTCAACTTCTGTTGAAAGACACATAAAACAAAGACTGTCAATATCTTCAAACCAATCGCAAATTAGTAATTCTACAGCATTATAGCTATGTAATGGTGTCTCAGCTACATACGTACGACCTATAGTACAAATAGGTCACATGTTTGACCTCGAGTTGGGCGTTGTTCCCTGTGTGAGCTCACGTGTTACGTGGTTTACTATCGGTTCTTCTCTAAGTTGTCATTTTCACTTAAGGAACATCAAAATACACGATTACATCTACCAGTAGGATATCTCTGATAACACAGATACTGGAAGAATTTTAGTTTTAGTTGAGTGTTTAGAGAATGGGACGACATTTCGGTTTCTGTACTGAGGCATACCCATACACTGTGTAAGTATAGAACCGAAATGTCGTCCTACTCTAGAAAGAGGCAGGCTTAACGCATTAAAACTAGAACCCTACCATGTCTATACAATGCCTAAAATACCCTTGAAACAACATATATACTGTGCTTAAAACATCATTCAAAGAAGTGCAAAGTTTCTACAGTATACTCACGACGTTATCCATAACGTCTTGGCTGTTAGGTCTCTGATAAAGTGGACTGTGATGAGATGTATAGGGCGTGGATGGACGCCAGTAGTGGAAGTCGTAACACATCAAATTGACAAAGTCCAAGAAACTGAAATGTATTGTTACAATAACAGGACACTTGCACACTTTTCTTTAACACAAGTAGCATTTATAACAACCAAATATTAATCTATTAGTTACAACAATGAATATGAGAATATTTCTGACATTTTAACCACAATAAGACTACATTACTGAAATGTTATTTATACAGAGCTATAAAAGAAGTTATTTGAATATTTTTTGCTCATTAATGTTTTAAAAGGCTATTTCATCCCAACTCCCTGGCAGAGAAATGTTGGAAAATCATTAGATATGTTAGAAATGTAAAATCTTGGTAAATTATGTAACATGTGCTGTTTTAAAAGGGGGACTCAATAAATTTTAAATAGAATGTTAGATAAAAAAAGATAAAACTTAAGAAAAAGTTAAAAGTATTATCTGTAGTGTTTTACAAAATCATTTAATTCTATTTTCTATTTGTAAACTCCAAAAAATGTTTGAGGTCTGAGTCAGTGGAAGGGAGAGAAATCCCCTTGAGCAACGCTTACGTAATATAAGTCAAAATGAAATGTTGGATACGTACATGCCAAGTTTTGCTCTAATTATACACCTTTCTATGCTTTTTAAACTTTTATATTTCGCTTCGAAACGATAGCTGACTAAAGCGTCTCTGTGAGAACTGAAGTAAAAGATGTACATCTTATATCAGCTTTTTAAATGGTCCGTTAAATCATTGATCTTTTCGGATTATTGTTTCTAGTAAAATGGGTTTGATAATCCTTTTCATACTTCTAGCGAAACGTGTAGTGTTTACCGTGATAACAGCTATTGTTATACCAAAAGAGGCATATCTGAGATTACACAGGCCTGCGAATTTAAACTTCATAAAAGTTGTTTTGGTTTTAATAACGGA